GCGCGGGGGCTCAGCATGAACTGCGGCGACAGCAAGGAGATGGAGGGTAAGGAGGCGTGTGCCGGAGGGTCGTGGGGATGCGTCCCGGCTCTGCCCGCTTTTCTGGGCTTGCCATCCGGGCCCGCCCGCCCGCCTGCCTGTCTGCCTGCTTGCCTGGGGAAGGGAGGGGATCGCGCATGAATCCGGCGGGGCTCTGGGGGTCCCCTCCCCGCTCCGATCCGTCGCTACTCGGGATCCGTTTTCTTGCAAATCGCCTGCTGAAGCGGAGACTTCGATCGTCTGCAAGTGGCAGCGCGCATCTTAGGCGGTTCCAAGGGCTGAGAGACTGAGGGAGGCGGCGGAAAACCACAAAAGGAAACGGAACAAAAGACCGGGGTGGGGGGTGCCAGATTTATTTGTGTATGTGTGTAAGGAGGAGGAGGATGAAGAAAGAGGAGACCGCAGACTAGCCTACCCCAACCTAACCGCCGGTGTCCTCGCGATCTTCCGGACTCCCATTCCCATCCTCCCCAGCCTCTAGGCACACCAGCAGGGAACTGTGAGAGACCTGTAGCCCAACAGATCTGGGGTGCCCTTCTCAGAAGGGAAACAGATCTGCAGCTAGGGAGCTGCTGGTTGGGAGTGGAAGATGGGTTTCGGAGACGCAGTGAGATATTTTTGAGCAGGCTTTCTAGACAGATGTTGCTCTGTCAGCTGTTCCCCTTTGGTTCAGGTCGATGGGTGCAAAGGGGAGATCTCGAAGCCCCTCTCCCCATATTGAATGGAAGACACGCTCTGTCCCCCTTTCTGCTCAGGCGTGAGTTCTCCATAGTTCGTGGGCTTGCCTCTAAGCAGTGGAGAATTTGGGGTGATGGTGGGTCCCCTCGCATGCCTTGCAAGGAAAAGAGGTTTTTACAACATCAGTCAGAAAAAAGAAAAGCCCATTCCTCTGACTATTTAAATGCCATGCAAGGTGTATCGATTCCTAGATAAACAGGTCCCTGATCAGGTTTTTTTTTAAAAGGAGCAAGGTTGTCCTTGCGTGTTTCAGCTAAAGGATTAACCAAGAGAGGTTACCGGTGGAACTGCTGCCTTGTAGAGCTGAAAACTCCTTTTTCAGAAGGAGAAACGTGAGGGTTCCAGTTTAGGAAAGTAGCTGATTACCTTTGCTGTGAAGGTGACTTCATTTTGGCAGACGATCCGCAGATTTCTTGAGAGTCGCTTCTTTTGAGGCGAGATTGAACCAACTTATTGAAAACAGGACCTGCCTGCCAGAGCCCTGGGGTAAACTGCAGCACGCTAGGAAATACTACGGCTTTCCCAAAGGGAAGAAGAGATGTGCAAGGCAAAATGAGAGCTGTCTTGCAGAAACGGCGAAGTATGTTATTCTAAAAAGCAGGCAGCCTTCTCATATTCAGAGTCTCTTGCATCTAATTAATGCAGCGGGACAACTCATCAGTTCTGCAGCCCTGCCCAAGTAATTCCAGTTGATTTCGACAAGATTTGCTGCCAAGACCGAGCGCTGCAGTGTTAGCACTAAATAGGTCCCTGTTAAATATATTTGCAGGAACTAAGTCCCATTACAGCTGGAAAGACTGCATTTTCAGCAACCACATTTAGGGCTGATGTCCATAAACCTGCCAAAATCCAGTGCACGAATTCATTGAATGGATCTCTTGAGTTGGATGTGGGGTGTAAACGGCTGTGTTAATACATTTGCGGCTTTAGTGCACTAAGATCATTTTAATTGTTGTACGCTGCCCAGAGTCACTTCGTATGAGATGGGCGGCTATATAAATATGATAAGTAAATAAGGGCTGGACTGGATTGAAACCACCAAATCCCATTTTCACTAAGGAGGGTGTATTCTTTGGACCCAACCAAATCTTCAGGATATTCTGCCTAGCGGCTGCATTCACACAACACCCTTCCATAGGTTTTGGAACCAATTGCTTTTCTGAATGTGCACAGCATATTGGACCATTGGCTTATTACACAGGCTAAGCCGCAGAAAAACTAACCATGGTTGACTGTAAGCAAGCATCTGCTTGACCGTTCGCTTATCTGGTTCAAGATGTACCCGTGCAGGATTCCAGAGATGTGTGTATTTACATTGATAGATAGATTTGCTGTATTAAGAGTTGGCTGATTAATGCATTCTGATTCATTGATTGATTGACTGCATATTTGTGATTGGGGTTGTGTTCTTGTATAGCTCTCTCCCTGAGTCTTTAAAATGTTACACAACTGTGTTGGATTCACACCCATGCCAGCTGACAACGTGAGCGCTTGGTTTCGGCACAGTCCGCTGTGTTTGTGAAACGCGACGGCTTGCTTACTTGCTGGCTTTGGATTATGTGGGACCCAACCTGCCATGCCTTGCTCAACAAACCATGTTTAAAGCCAGCTTAGCGCTGCCCCAGGCTCTTGACGAGCGTAAACAAACCCAGAAGGGAAACCAACAAGTAGGAATGGATTGCACGAAGCAGATCGACTGGGAAACTCTTGGAGTGCTTTAAATCCCGCTCTCGTTAAATTCTCGGTGGAGCAGAAAGATGCGCTGTGCCAAATACGATGCAAGTGGCGCTGGGGCTGCTTTCCCCCCTCTCGCGGGAAGTCTGCGTATTGGAAGAGGAAACAGGGCATCACACTGCTTTATGCGCTGGCGATTTTCCAACCTGGTGCCCTCCAGAAGTGTTTCTACATATTGTATCTTGCTGCTCATACAAGAGATCAAGGCTCCCTCCACTTACTTTTCCCCTCAACAATAACCCTGTGAGGTGGGCTGGGAGGAGAGAGAATAGCTAGTGGAAAGCTACCTATGAGCTTCCATGGCTGGGCGGGACTAGAACCCAGGTCTCCCTGCTCCTAGTCTGGCACTTTCACTGCTGAACTGCCTTGGCTGTTGGGCTGAGAGGGAGGACTGGCCAAAACAGTACTTGACTTGGGTACACATGTTGTGTGAATAGTACCAATGAGGTCTAGAAGCAAGATACAACAGCCCTAATTCTATCACCAGCCACTTTCAAAACTGTGATTTGGGGAATACAGAATTCCAGTTGCTTTCTCCAGGACAGTGTTTCTCAACCTCAGCAAGTTTAAGATGTGTGGATTTCAATTCCCAGAATCCCCCAGCCAGCATGGCTGGCT